TACTCCCCATCTCATAAACTGCCTTGACATAAATGTCATGGCTCTTGCGTGAATATAATAGTTTCTAAGCTATTTTAGTCAAACTTTCCCGGTGAGTGTATCACACAGCACTTGGTATCAGAAGAAGCCACTGGTGAAGAAGAGCCTGAAAGTTCACCAATGTTCAAATGTTGAATCAACCCCCTCTACATTGTGTGGGCCGCATCACTGCTCTCAACAACCATCTAGCTCTTAATCTATCGAGCCCCAGCTATGGGGTCCTAATCAAAAAGTTAGATGATGTGAAGTAATGGTCCCTATAATCCTAATGTTATTCTTGGAGGCACTGTGAGCATTCGTTAACACTGAAAACGTTCTATGTAAATGCTAAGCATTATTACTGATACTATTGACATTGTCCTGTTTACATTTGTCCCATAATAGGTGTATGGGAGAGATGGCAAAGAACACAGGACCGAGTTCTATGCAGGAGGTGGCTAGATGACTCTAGTCCATGCAGTGCCCTAATTTAATTATAATGTGGTATAAACACCCACCAAGACTGCACTGAGATTATCCAACTCCTTCTCAATTGGTGTCTTAAATCACATTTGAACTCTGTCCTCCCTTTTCTGGAAATCAGTGCAGTGGGTAACCTACTATCTAGCCCTAACCCACCGCCTAGCCAGAATGATTACTTTGAGAAGCAGGGATTCTATCCAGCATTATTACATGTTTCTGTTTACTAAAAACTCCGGAGAGCTTTTTAAGTCCTATTTTACTGAGCCCGATTAGGCACTTTATTTCTAGTTTACTCCAGTGAGTGTGTAAATTCTCTCACGTAACTATGCTATTTTGAATGTTAACTGAACAGTTACGCTGCATTGCCTATTTCATATATACCCACTAAGCAAATAAAAGCAGCTCAGAGTGCACATAAAAAAAAAAATCTATGACTGGATTGATACCAATGAATTCTCCTGCACTGTAATGAAATGGGAATGGATTGCTCAGCAAGGTATCATCTGTTGGTATCAGAGTAACTAACAGCCATGTTAGTCTGTATTTGCAAAAAGAAAAGGAGTACTTGTGGCACCTTAGAGACTAATTAACCAATTTATTTGAGCATAAACTTATGCTCAAATAAATTGGTTAGTCTCCAAGGTGCCACAAGTACTCCTTTTCTTTATGCATCTGTTGGTAGTTACTTGGTGGTGGGGAGGGGGATTATGCAAATGAAATTAGGGTGTTTTCAGGAGTCTGCTGCTCTGGAGGAGAGCAAGTTAAACTATTCCACCTTGATTGGCTTGTGGTTAGCAAAGCCTTAAGGGGAGGGAAAGGAATGATTCAAGCTTTTTGGCCAAGCTGTTTTTCCAACAGCCAGCACAGCTTAAAAATTTAGAAATAGGGGATGACATCAATCTTTTCTGTGGGGGAGTTTCTTTCACCTCCTGTAAGGTGTAGCATTTGAAGGTCTACATTAGGACCATGTGTCTACACGGGATGCATAAACTATATTTTTATTTTTCAAAAATATATTTCTAAAAAAGGTGTGTACTGTTCTGGCATGCCCCTTTGCAGCCTGGGGTGGCACTGCGTGAGGCCCAATTTAATTTCTCTCAAATAGTATGTCCATAAGTCAACTTTAAAGGCAAGGAGATGCCAAAAACAAGCTAACAAAATATCATATTCCCAGAGACTTTATTTAAGGGAAGAAGCAATTGTAACCACAGTTCATAAGACCCTCACCTCAGGACCTTGGTTCACAGCTCCCAAACTTAAAGTCCTCAAAACAAAATCATTGATGCTAGTCTCTGAGAGCCTTAGAGAGAAACCACCACCCATAGCAGCCTGCATAGCATCTCTCTTCTACAACTCACTCTTCAGCAGTAGTCTCTCACTGACTGGACTTGGAGCATCCTTTTCAGTACCCTGCCCAATCATCTATCAGGCTTTTAATTCTCCCTAGGTGGGTCTACTAACCCCAAACATGCGTTCCCGTCTTGGCTGCATCTGACTAGTGAACAGGCTGGCTGGCCCCAGTTCCTTAAAGGGCAGGCCATCTTGTTACAATATTGCATCTATTAAGAGAATGTGCTAACAAGACATTTTAAATATTACAAAATTGGCCAATCTTCCTAATTTTAACATATATAGTATAATGCAATATATTATAGTATAGGGAAGCAAGGCCCAATAGACAGAGCACTGGACTAGGCCTCAGACATCCTGACATCTATTCCAGCTCTTATCATTTATCTACTGTATGAGCTTGGGCAAGTCACTTAGTCTCTCTGTCTCTTTGCCCGTCTCTCTATTTAGATGTAAAGCTCTTTGGGACAAAGACTCTCATTCACAAACACTAGGGCCCTAATCTTGACTGTGGCCTCTAGGCACTGCTGCAAAAACAATTACAGACCAAAAATTTTGTTTATGGTTGCCAAGTCAAGCACACAAGAAATAGGAAATGCCAGAATTTAGATTGCCTATGTAACCTTAATTCAGACCACTTGGGCATACACATTATGATACCGTCTTTAATAACATGATATTTTTTCCTCAGAACCCTATGGAGTGCGAGAATGCTCAGTGCAGACAGAATCTTCAGAGATTTTTAGCAGCTAAAAATCAAAGTCTTTACTGAGCATGTGCAAACTGATTTTTCATTTACTAATAATTTGGCCAAATGTGGGCAGATTTTCAGAGGGAGGGCAAAAAGCCCCTTGCCAAATTCTGAGTCCTTGCTCCGAAGCCTGGGGGCAACTAAACCTGCTCAGAGGTTTCCAGACTGTTTTAACCTGAGCAAAACAACATTTTCTTTAACCTTGATCTTTGAAGCAACTATCCCACTGTGGCTAAAATCCCCACCCAAAGAAAAAAAAATGCAGCCCAAGGCCAACACCTGATATGTAAAATTTCAGACCAAATGATTAAAGTCTGGCAAAGTTATAAGTAACTGAAAACAGAGTCTTACAATAGGAAGTGTCAGGCAAGCTTAATAATAGGGGCTGTCTCAGCCCTGCCTCTAGTAAGTACATGACACTATTGCAGCATTAGTGTTCTACACAAGAGAACAGAAAACAACTTTTCCTATTGCCTTGCACCATGCATAGCTGTTGAAATCTGTGCTAGTGGGTCTAGTCAGAATCAGCCACTCACACTGGTTCAGGGGTAACAGACTGCAGAAGGTGAAACACAGAATCAGAGCTGCTAGACCTAGAGCTATATATATGCACACACACACACACACACACACAGAAGAGCACTTTGCCCCCCTAAAGAGGCTTAGAGAGGGGGTTCACCATGAAAAAGGTTCTCACTCCAGCAGCAATCAGGTAGCAAGTGCTGCCAGTACATCCAGCCAAAGTGGGTTCTCTTCCTTATCCTGTCAGTAGGTATTTCTCTCGCACCTGTCAATGTTCTAATAGTCAGATCCGTATTGCCCCTTTTTAAATGCATTTTCTTCCAGCAGAGTTCACTTACCCACTGACATTCAAAGACCTTTGTTTTTGCTGGGCCAGCAATAAAGCAAACATTAACCACTTAAGTTCCAGCCCACTTACTGCTGTGGAATTTGAGGATGTAGGTCAATAGTTCATTGAAGGGATTTAAATATGAAAACTATACCTTATACTCATCCTGTTCTTCTTAGCACATTCTGTATATAAAATCCCAACGATCTGCATTTCAAAACTTCTTCCTTAAAGCCATACTTTGGCAAATGATAGTATTAAGTGTGGGCTAACTGTGTGGAATTCTCTATAGGGTGGAGCTCCTAATTAAAGGGACTTGTGTTTTGTGGCGTTCTGAATTTACAGAAGGCACGACATTTTCTTTATATGTCAGGGTACCTACTGTCTACATTCTCTCTGCCAGTCTGAAAGGTCTGGCAAATATATATTTCAAAGGCAAATTGTAGCTTAAGCATTCCTCTACCTCTCATGAACACACTTAAAAAGAAAGAAAGAGGCCTCGAAAGCTACCAGTCAATGCCTGCACAAAGCCCGTTCTTAAGTCAGAAAAGAAGCCAGCCCCAAAAGATGTCTCTAAGAAATTAGCATCCTGAACAGCTGTTGGGCATTTAAAACACAGCTTTTTAGAAAATATAAATTGTCCCTATTCAAAAGCTGAAACAACATGTTCTAACATGTTCTAATCCAAAGGCTTCAGTTATTAAGAAGACAGCTTTCTTTACGGCAGCTATAAGCTATAGCCTGAACCCATTACATCTCCTCTTACAGGTCTTTATTTGCCCAAGTCTATTGTATAAAAAAGTTCCTCTCCCTCCTCCCCCTTTTCCACACAATCAGTGTTTGCAGACGAGGTAGAAACATTTTCAGGACCAAAAGCATCCCCCCAGCCTTTAGCTCCCCAGGGAGAACAAATCTACCTACCTCCCTTAATGCTTTAACAGCCCTGCAAAGCTTTAAGCTGTAAAGTAAGAGAAGGATCCACTGTGGTGTTAAGGATTCAGCCTCCACGTTGACTTTAATGGGAACAGAATCTAGCTCCCATTAGGTTCCTTATGGTTAACCTAAGGCATGTAATTACTAAGTACTATGCTAATGCCAAGCATTCAGTTAGTGTCTGTAAATACCTACTCTCCCTAGCTACTGTGGATACATATCACTTACCTTCCTCTAACAGGGTAGATGGGTGTCCTTACTTCCTAAACCCTTTTGTGCAGAGAGAAGAGCAAGTGATTGCAATTCAGAGGAAGAGGCTCAATTATTTAGCTGAGGCCAATAATATTCTAGTGGCTACTGCTGATAGGGGAGAAGCTGTCTGAATAGGAGCACGAGCTGCAGCCTACACAACAGTGAACCAATGGGATGGTGTTTTACCAAAAGATCCTCCTATTGGGAGATGTGGGGGAGGTTGGTGGGCAGGCTCATGCTGAGACCCAGCTGCCTTTAAATATGACTGAGGCTCATTCCTCTCTTATTACTTCTCCAGCAGTAATGAATATGAAAACATCTTCCTAGTAGTCACTAATCTGCTCCCTCTCTCTGTTAATTGCCATGGCTGATGAAGAGATTGCTGCTCTAGTTGTGGACAATGGCTCTGGTAGGTGCAAGGCTGTGTTTGCTGGGGATGATGCCCCCCATGCTGTGTTCCCCTCCATTGTGGGGTGCCCTAGGTTCCAGGGTCATAGGGTGTGATGATGGGGATGGGCCAGAAGGACAGCTATGTTGGGGATGAAGCCCAAAGTAAGTGTGGTATCCTGATGCTGAAGTACCGTATTGAACATGGCATTGTTACTAACTGGGATGACATGGAGACGATTTGGCACCACACTTTCTACAATGAGCTGTGGGTGGCCCCGGAGGAGCACCCATTATTGCTTAGTGAGGCTCCCCTAAGGCTAACAGGGAGAAGATGACTCAGATCACGTTTGAGACCTTCAACACACCAGCTACGTATATGGCTATCCAGGCTGTGCTAGGCCTCTGGCCATACCACAGGCATTGTGATGGACTCTGGTGATGGGGTTACCCACACGGTCCCCATCTATGAGGGCTATGCCCTGCCCTATGCTAGTCTCCAGCTAGACCTGGCAGTCAGTCAGACCCTGGCCGATCTCATGAAAATCCTGACCGAGAGGCTATAGCTTCACCACCACAGCTGAGAGGGAGATTGTGCGTGATTTCAAGGAGAAGCTATGCTATGTTGCCTTGGATTTTGAGCAGGAAATGGCCACATCCGCCGTCTCCTCTTCTCTAGAGAAGAGCTATGAACAACCTGATGGGCAGGTGATCACCTTAGGCAATGAGAGGCTCTGCTGCCCTGAGGCCCTTTGCCTGCCAGGCTTCCTGGGCATGGAATCCTGCAGCATCCATGAGACTAACTTCAACTCTATCGTGAAATGTGATGTGGACATCTGCAAGGACCTGTATGCCAATATGGTGCTGTCCGGGGGCATTACTGCCCGGATGCAGAAAGAGATTGCTTCCCTGGCACCAAGTACTATGAAAATCAAAATCATCGCCCCACCTGAGTGTAAATACTCTGTCTGGACTGGTGGCTCCATCTTGGCTTCTCTCTCCACTTTCCAACAAATGTGGATCAGCAAACTGGAGTATGATGAATCTGGGCCATCCGCTGTTCACTGCAAATGGTTTTTAAAGGGACTTCCCAGCAGACAACTGCATGAGAAAAATGTATCCACCATACTGAGCTATATTAATTCTCCTCTTTAAGGCTCTCCTCTTAGAAGGGCTAGTATCCAGTGCTACAAACTCATTTCCTTTATTTCTTTATCAAAGACAACAGTTTGTTTGCTATTAATTTTTAGAGCAGTGACTAACTGATAGGAAAAGGTTATCTGGTAGAGCTCTTCTTTTGTGAAACTTGGGTGAATTCTACTACTATCTTCTTTGCAGTTCAAAGTCCTCCAGTCATGGATCAAAGCTAACCTGTAAGGGTCAGAATAACAATTCAGTACTGAATAGTCTCTTACAGGCTGATAACCTCTGTAAACAAGCACTTTTTTGTGTCCTAAAACATCTGGGTTTTATAGCTAAATGCCTAAGTGGCAAGATAATGGGTTAATGTTGCATATTTGGAGTTGCTAAACCTGGGTTTGCTGTTTTTTATACTTCTAAGCTATAGTTTAGAACACTGATGTTAGTTTTGACAACTAGAACAAATCATTCCCTTAGCAGTGAGACTATCTACTGTAGCAAAAATTTCTAGTTCCTAAACACCATTATACAAAAAAAAAACCTGTAAACTGATTCTCAAATATGCATAATAATAAAAAGGCTAATCTCTAATATGGTCAAGAACACTTCTTTCCGACTAGAAAGACTAGTGCTTTCTTACAGAACACAAGCAGCTATATAATGGAAGGACTTCTCAATCTTTGAGTGGAGTTTTGCAAGTCCTCCCATAAAGCAAATGCAGCTGGACGCTATTAAATCACTTAACTAGCATATAATGCCTGCTTACTGCACTAAAGTTTAATTCTATGCTTTAAAAGAGCAGAGTTTGAAATGGCTTAGTACATTTTAAAGGACACCAGACAGTTATAAGGGTTTGACCTACTTGAGAACTAGCCCATTCTTCTGCATAGAAACTGTTTAAAGAATAAGCAAAATCTTGGACCTGAAATTTCCGTTCCATTATTGCTGGAATGGTGGGTAGCATCCCTAGCCTGCTGCTCTTCTTTAGGACACACAAGAATTTGCCCTAGCTCTTCTACTGTAGGCAAAAACCTTAATTGATACCCATTCATTTCTGAATTTCTTCCAAATATTAAATATCAGATCCCTAAACTAATTCTCCTTGCTACTTCATAGTCTAAAACAATCTACACCTTTTGTAGGTACAGATCCTTCTCTCCTTTGCAAAGAGACAGCTGGGCTGATGTCCACTATGACTTGCCATCACACTTAAACCAAACAGTTATGGCAACAGAGTGCTGGTAGGTGAGACAGGAGGGTTTCTGCCATGACTTACTAATGTCACTTTAATGTAAAAAAAAAAAAAAAAAATAGTACACAAACTAAAACTAGCTGCGTGCATGACTCCCCCCTGCTGAGTGGAAACCATTTAGGCAAGAGATAGCTTATTACATGTGTGTAATTGGAAGAATAAATTGTTCCCTCTGACTGCTCTACTGCAAAACAAATGAATGGGTATTGAAAGAAAATCAAGCAGAAAGATCATGTTCCAGCTTCCCCCCACCCCCTTAATATTGCTCATATGGTTAAGGGAAGGGTGTTCATTTAGTCCCAGTTATGCAACTATTTCTACAAGATGGACACCTATGCCTGCATGGAGCGCCATTGAAGTCTATGGGGCTGCCAGAGGACTCCTCTCTTTCTCCCCCCTCCCGCCCCCATGGATTCAGTTGTAGTATTGCAATGTTAATAACAAAGCCATGCATATGTTTGTCGTCGGTATTCTAAACCAGTGGTTTGCAAAGCCGGCCTGCCACTTGTTCAGGGAAAGCCCCTGCCGGGCCGGACCAGTTTGTTTACCTGCCGCATCCGCAGGTTCGGCCAATCGTGGCTCCCACTGGCCACGGTTCGCCGCTCCAAGGGACATGCTGGCTGCCCTTCCCATAGCCCCCATTGGTTTGCAGCAGCAAACCTGTGGCGATTACCTACCGCGTCTGCAGGTTTGGCCAAACAAAGTGGTCTGGCCCGGCAGGGGCTTTCCCTGAACAAAAGGCGGACCGGTTTTGAGAACCAGTGTTCTAAACTACAAGTCCTGCTCCACTAACTTAGTTTAAATACCTTATTTCAGCTGTCCAACCTGTAGGTTATTGATAACTGCTAGGGAGAGTCACTTTAAAAAAAAAAAAAGACAACAAAGGCCTCTTTTCAAAGCAAACTTCTTGTAAAAAAAGCTTTCTGGTGAAACCAAAAACAGAATCTGCCTTTCTTTTAATTTTTCTGCAATAGAACTGTTGAGTTGGTTGGTTTTTTTGTTCGTTGCCTCCCCCCTATTTTGCCTCTATGTAACTCTGCCTTAACATCCAACCCTCCTCCCATTACTGCAGGGACCTATTTCCACCAAGAGTAGAGGATATAAACACTGAAGGTTTTAAAACCTCAGTAGAAGCAATATTCTGGAACAGTTGCTTGATGTGAAAACTTCCCCTTATTAAACATAGACCTAGCATGGCTCTGTGATTGAGGCTGCTTCACCATGGCTAAACACTACATGCTACCTCACTTCAGTAGAGCTGGCTAGAACACTCTTTTAAATAAAAAAAAATTAAAAGAAAAATCATCTTTGAAAAAAGGGCTTTTTTTTTTTTAAATGAAAATTCTTGAAGATATTTAGGGTTTTTAAACTTCCTTTCCCCCTCCCCCTCAAAAAGTGGGGGGGATAGAATGGAAGAGGGGAGGAAATGTGTTAAATTGGTCTTTTAAACTCTAGACAAAAAAAATACTAATTTAGTCTCTGACACTTTTACAGAAGGAAAATGACTCACTTTTTTTCCACAGGCTTCACCTTTTTTGAGCAGCTCTAGGCCTATTCTACACACTTTTTATACCAATTTAATTTTTGGTGAAGGATGTGAGGTTTTTTTTTCTACCAAAAAGCTAAAGCAGGAAAAACTCCCCTGCCTTGAGTAGATGTAGTTATATTGGTATAACTCATACACATGCCTTATAGTAGTATAGCTTATTCCTCTTCCTTTATAGTAGCTATACCAGTATAAGGCACCTTTATACCAATATAAGTGCATCCACACAAGCAGGGAGAGAGGGGTTGAATTACTGTAACTATAGCAGCATAGTTAAAGCACTAACATTTTTGTGTGTGTAGACAGGCTCCTAGTCCTGCTTAATATCCTCAAAGTTCCAAGGAAAATGTGATTCTCATGCTTGCAAACATATTTGGCTTACAAAAATTATTCGTGTATATATTTCCAATGTTGAGTTCAAAGAAGCACTTTCCCCAACTCTAAAATGATGTCTACCTAACAAGAATGTGAGCATTTATGGCTGAGATCCCCTAAATACTGCATGGATCTCCTCTGATGAAAGGCCCTATATGAGCTGAAGTTCTACCACCTTGTGGGATTTTATGGAATACCACCACAAGCTAAGCTGCATGAGTGCTTAGGTGGGAGACCTCCAAGGAATATCCAGAAGTTGCAGGAAGTAATAGGAATGCTGATTAAGCACTGAAGCTACCTTCCCTCCCTTCTGTTGGTGGTGCCATCTTACAGAGCAGGTATAAAACAGATGACCTGCTTGCCTGTGGCAAATAAACTCTGGCACTCTTTGGTAAGACTAACTCTAACATCCTGAAAAAATGTAAAGAGGGTAATTGCTTCCCTAAAATTTCTCCCTTATTTTTGACTGCATACATTTGTATTTGCTTTCGAGGACTTATGTACCTAAACTGAGTCCTCAGAGATGTGCATATGTTTGAATACTGGCCCATGAAGTATGTATCAAATAATCACAATTACATATTTTGATGTGGAGTCCAGAAACCAGTTATTTTTGTACTGCTGCATGTATGATGCTGTGTGTCTGTGCTTTGTACAAAACTAATGGAATCATCTTGCTAATCACAGATGCTGACAAGCCAGGCCACTCTGTTCCGGTGCAATACATCAATCTGCCATGAGGTGCTATTTCCATTTCTGCAGCTGGAATACTAAAGAATTATTTATGCATTTCTTGTAGTTTCACTACTTCAAATACCCCCACACTACTTTATCCCAAGCTTTGTCTGCTCCCAGTATGCTGGCATCTTGCAGCCATAGGAACTCTTCAAGAATTTTTTCTAGCTTATTTTAAAAACGTGGAACACACTTCTCATTCTTTCATGTGATCTTAAACAAGCAAGTTAGGACCAAGATGTATTCCAAGGTATATGAAAATCTTGCTGGCCCTCTTTATTCTGACCATATATTACCAGCCAAGTGCAAAGTTGCCCTAGTTCAATAATTCTCAAACTGTGGGTTAGGACCCCAGAGTGGGTCATGACCCTATTTTAATGGGGTCATCAGGGCTGACTTAAACTTTCTGGGGCCTAGAGCTGAAGCCTTGGGGCTTAGGCTTCAGCACCCCCTCCTGGGGTCATGTAGTAATTTTTGTTAGAAAGGGGGTCACAGTGCAATGAAGTCTGAGAACCCCTGCCCTAGTTACATGCCCAGCAAAGCTATTAACAGTAGTATGATATGCTGCCAGGCACAGGATATGGGATGTATTCTTAAACCCTTGGGGTAGAGAAGTGGTAAAGATTGGATCTTCCAGTGCTTTCAAGCCAAGGTTTCTATCCAGCTCTCCTGAGATAGAGGCTCAATCAAATGAGAGGCTTTGCTGAAGGTGCAGAATAGAGAAGATGCCGGAGCATGCAAACACCCTAACTCCAATAAAATCTGTAAACAGTGTCTGTATAATAGGTTAAATTGAGCAAATTCTTCCATCTAGTGAAGTTTCCATGTCTGATGTTAGAAGTGGTAAGAGTAACTATTCCAAAGGGTAGTTTCCTGTGCTCTTAAAGGAACACAAATGAAATTAATGATCTGAGTATCCTTCCCCAAATGAAAGTCTAATGGTTGCATAACATCTTTGGGCTGGGGAGGATGTGGCTGCTTTGAATCTTTCCTCAATGTGCAGAAAGAATCCACATCAGAGCAGTCATTGTGGGGGTTTATGATTACATCCAGACAATCACTCATTGGGCTGTGAACATTCCAGTCTGTGTAATAACTGGCCTTTTG